CCCCCCCCCCAAGAGCCCAGACCTGAACATTATTAAAGCGGTGTGGGATCATCTTGAAAGAGAACAGAATAAAAAGAGGCCAGGATCCAAAGAAGAGCTTTGAATGTCTTTCAAGAAATTTAGAGAGCGATTCCTGAGGACAGTTGTTAGAATTATACAAAACTGTTTTCCATGTACATCTGCACGTTTTGGCTATTTCCCATTTTCCTAACAAAAAAGACTTTTGCACAATACTGCACACTGGATAATTTGTGGAGAAGGAAATGAAACAACATCAGTTAATGGAAACCAAAATGATCAAATCGTCAATCCTTTCTGGGCTTGATGTTAAAATTATTAAGTGATCCTTTAATTTTTCAGCAGTATATCTGGAACTATTTGAACCTGTTAATTACTTTCTTCCGGTATCAAATTGCATTGTAAATGCACCCGTGTGCAATCCAAGATACAGCAGTATGCTGTGCTTTGTTTTCATTTTATTAACAGTGCCATAGGTACATGATCAAACACCTTAACAAATGTCGTCACGCTTTAATTCCAACATGTCTGGATCCTAATTAGAGCTTAAACACACGTAGCACCACCTTTTACAGCTGACACCAGTGATAGAACCGTGAAGTTGAGCTAAAACATGTTTTCGGGGTCTTTAAATGCAAATTTCGGCCACTGAGGAGCCGTCACATCCTGAATTTTTTTTGTAGGATTTTGTTGAAGCAGTTGTGATATGTTATGTTGAGGGTAATGTGTGTGTTTTTTTACCACTTTGGCAGTGTGCAGAGTTTTACAAAGTCTCTGTCGAGAGCTTCCGGAAGGGCAAAGAAGAGACTCTCAGCCGTTTTACGTAAGTCAGAACACTTTAATTTGTTTATGTGTAGTATCATGTAAGCCTTATTACAGCTTATTTGATGTAAGTTAAGTTTGAATCATAAGAATGAGGCAAATGTTATTTAATATTATTTTCTTCATCTCTCTCTCAGTCGTTTTAACACCCAGCCAGTGTGTGGAGACTTGCAGAGTCAGATATTAAAATGCTACAAGGAGAACACGGGAAAGACTCTGTGCTGCTCGCGCATTGCCGCTGCCTACATGCAGTGTGTGGACGAAGCCAAGAAAGTACGACCCGTCTTGACTTAAACACATTATTTGATTTCATACCTCTCCTGCTGTGGATCTTTATTGATCATTTTAAACCATCTCTCTCCTCTCACAGAATAAGATGAGCACAGGCGGTTAATGTGGACCGCATCCTGGCAGACTACTGCAGCCTTTCTATATACCCAAAGAAGTGCCAGACGCATGCAGACGTTAACTAAAAGGACACTTTAGTCTGCTGCTCATCATGGGATCAAAGCAATTATATCGATGCAACAGCAAAATTCATTTTTAAGTGCTTGCTTTTTTCTTTTAAACGAAGCAAAACACAACAGACAAGCAGAACATTTGCAGACTGAGAGCCTGATTAATCATTTTACACACGTGCCTTGAAGTTATGAAAGCTGTTTATCAGAGTGTGAACGCATGAAGGAACTACTGAGTGAGAAGAGTGTAACAACAAAGAAAAATTAAATCCATCAGTAAACCTTGATGTGGAACATAATGGTTCACGGTTAAAGAAAATATTTGTGTGTGTGTGTGTCTGTGTATGTGCTGCCCCTTGCTGATTTTGAGTTCACAATTTAATAAAAATTTATTACTGTGCTCATGAAATCCAGTTGATGCTCTCAGGGAGGTAAAGCGGCTGTTTTTCTGTGATATAGCTCATTACTTGTGGCAAAATTATGGATGCAAAGCAAAAAAAGGAAACACATAAACACAACATCCTGAACATCGCAAATAAGACGGAGCACTGGACAGCAGAAGTGCAGGTGCATAAACAACCTGCGTAGAAATGCTTATATGTGACAGTGGACATGTGATCATCGTTTTACCACAAATGGAAGATGGTCTCCTTTCTGCACAGTTACTTTTTATGTCATAAAAAAAAATCAGTATTAAGAAAATAGGTTCAAGTTTCTGTCTTGGAGGTCATTTCAAGAAAATTGGTGCAGTTTCAAGAAGTCACACCTGTCAATACAATCAGTCAATCAATAAATATGATCAATAAATTGTCAGTCAATTTATTCGCTTTTATCACATTATACTGTTAGTTATTAAAAGTAAGAAGTATTTGCAAAAAAAGGGATTTTGAACTATGTCAGCTGCACATCCATGATGTGAATCTCCTGTTCCTCCACATCCCAAAGATGCTCTATTAGATTGAGATCTGGTGACTGTGGAGGCCATTTAAATACAGTGAATCCATTACTATGTTCAAGAAACCAGTTTGAGATCATTTAAGCTTTGGGACATGTTGCATTATCCTGCTGGAAACTGGCATCAGAAGATGGGTACACTGTGGCCCCATTGAGATGGACATGGTCAACAAAAATACTCTGTGGTGGCTGTGGTGTTTAAACAATGCTCAGTTGGTGCTAGTTGGCTCAAAGTGTGCCAATATCTGCCCCACCATTACACCTGAAGCACAAATACAAGGTGTAAAGGATCGATTAGTTCATGTTGTTTATGCAAAGTATCACCGTTCTTCCCTATTCTGAAACTCTGAAACTCAACCTGACCCCATCTAAATGTCTGTGTAGGTTCTCACCCATCCTGATCATGGTAGTCTAATGAGCTTGGAAAGAAAGAGACTGGACTTCTTTAAGCAGTGCAGCGAGGAGTGCTCAGACTTCTACACTAGAGAAACCAACCAGCCACTCCATAAATGCATAGCACAACGTAGAAGAGCCACCTCGACTGGACACGACTCAGCTGGACATCTGCATCTAAAGGTCAAAGGTCATTATTTCGAGGATGCCAGTGCTCACTTTTTGGACAGAGAAGACAGATGGTTTGAAAGAGGAGTGAATGATCTTTGAACAAAAGAGGTGGCTTACAACACCAACTGTCTGCGATCTGCAGTGCAGTTTTGAGATCCCTTCCCAGACGCTTCAACCTCGACTCACCATCTCAATGGGTCACATGATAGGGTGAGGCAAGGTATCACCACGGTTACGCCCAAAACCTCTGCTAATAATGACCCACACCTTTTTCCACACCTTGGCTCATGTGTTGAGGCACGTGATCAATACTTAATCCCACTATGGATTAAGTCCCTGGGACTCTCCGTCATCTCCAAACTTAAAGAAGTCCAGTAATTTCTTTCCAAACTCCCGAGACTGACCCAGCAGTATAAAAACAGATGAAGTTGCTTTAATTACTTTGCACACAAAGTATATGAAGAACTGGAAATATATATTTGGTCATACACTAAAAGATATAAAAATGGATACCTGTACAGCTGAAGCGACTGATTTTGGTGTTTTCACAGCAGCTGTTTTGATACTGGTTTAGAGAACATGTATAAATGCATATCTAATTTAACAAACCATTGTAGTCAAATACAAAATAGCTCCTCTTCAGTCAACTACAAATTTTACATGAATGAGCAATAATAATTCAATATAAAACTAGATAAAAAGGGAAATACTTAAAAGCGTATTAGTAAGCTACTTTAAAGACATGGTTAGTTACATTTAGAAAAGCCTCTGTGTCATCAGTTTCCAGTTTTGTGTTACTTGGATCCTAATTTTGGTTAAAACCGCAAAGCATCTAAATCAAGGCCTGGTGTTCGTGTCTGCTAATATGTATCTCGTGTGATCTAAGGTACAACGTGTTCTGCTTCATCTGAGGAGGAAGTGGCCGTTTGCACGCGTGCTTGGTTTCTGCGCAGTTGCAGAGACTTGTCAAGCGAAGAGTGGACACATTACATGCAAAGACTGGATAGGATGAGGAAGTTTGTGATTACATTCTGTATTGTTTGTTTTTTATGCTTAACAACCAAAGAATGCTTCATTTTCAGTTCTGAAAATTCTGCATGCTGCAAATGTGTTTTAAAAGTAACTCTTAACGTCTCATCCCCTCACTGTCTTTCAAAACCAGAAAAATAAAACGGAAGTGAAGCTGTGGTCTCCTTAGCAGATCTGACGTCAGCTTCTCTCATTGGCCACAGAGGAAGCGGTGGCCAACTTACTAACATTTGTCTGTGGCTTGTTGCATTTATGCACTAGTGCAGTGTGTGTTTGTGTGTTAAACATTATGTAACTGCATTTTAGTCGCTACTGTACATCTGTGACTACTAACACTGGTCTGGATGTACTTTTTTTGTTTTTCACCTAGTAAAATGTTTATTCACTCAACTACAAAAAAAATGATCTCATGAAAGATTAACTGACTAACTATTTAACTCATTGTTTGGCAGTTAAATATAAACATATTTGGGAGGTTTTTTTTTTTTTTATCAGTGCTGCAATAATTTTCTCTTTTGCACGTTGCAAAACGGTGATATCAAACATTTGCATGAGCTAATTTTTTTTTTTTTTTTTACAGCTGAGTCACACTGTGTTCAGATTCAGAGATAATAAAACCTCTAGAGTAAAGCTCCCTCACACACACAATCTCCAAGGAGACGGATAAAGAGACGATCAATAATCACATCAGTAGCTATTCAAGCTTCTTGGGATCTTTCAAAATTGCAGGACAGTTTCTTCCCTTCCTGTGAATTTGGTATTTTTCTCTTGTCCCAACTTCTTGATAACCAGATTGTGTGTTCCTATAAGGCCGCAGCCTTTTTTGCGCCACGGACCAGTTTATGTCTGACAATATTTTCATGGGCCGGCCTTTAAGGTGTCGCAGATAAATACAACAAAATAAAACCAGTACCAGTAATAAAAAAAAAGAAGATTTATTCATAACACACTGGAAAAGTCCCAGGGAAACAGAGTTCACGATAAAAACGATTTAAAAAATAACGATAAAAACCCTGAAAACCATCAATTTCACACCCGAACCTCAACTCTCACGGCCTGGTACCGGTCCATGGCCTGGGGGTTGGGGACCGCTGCTATAAGACAAGATAAAACATAAAAGTATAAATCCACTTATGTGTTTTTATTTTGTTCAATTATACACATTTCTTAAATCCATTTTATGTATGTATATATATGTGTTTGTTTATTTATTTATTTTGCTGTTGTTGGGGCCTAAATTGTCCTCCACTTCTGGAATGACCTTTGTCAGTATTCATCCCTACCTGCAATCATGGCTGCAAACTCTCCTTTTATTAAGGATGGATAAAATTGCTATTTGTTACATAAAATGTGTCATTCATATAATTTGTGATTTATCATTTTGGTTTGGTTCAGTGTCACAAGCTCAAATGCTACAAGCCACATTCATCAAACTGCAGAAACACTGCAGTTTGCAACTAATAAAGGTTCAACTGAGCATTAAATACTTGATAAAAGATGCAGTGGCAGGAACTGTTGCTATGACAACTCAATGTTAAACTGAAGATAATCAGAGTTGATGTGATGTTTTTCATTCATTCAATGTGAAGCAATGGAGCGGATTTTATTGTTTTTCTATCTGAATAACAGAAAAAAATCAAGGTGTTTAAGAAAGTAGCATATATTTTTATTCTACTGAACAAAATTCCTTCAGTAAATTAATATAATTGTTTATAAATATGTTTAAAAATCAATCAATGTCTTGCTGGTAATAGTAATACTTCCATGGGCATTTAGGAAAGCCGTACCATAGCATTGCTGTACATTAAAATTTAAATACAACTCTTATAGTGTCAGAACTGGTTTGGAAAAGGCAATTTTTAACTAATGTTGGTTTTGTAGTGTCTTCAAAAATAAATATCTAATTGCATGTTTTTTATATTAAGACTTGAATAAAAGCACCTTTCACACTAGAAATCTCTGGCTTTGAAATCTTTCATCTTTCTGCGAAATGATGAATACATGTGGATTTCTCTGAAGGACATGGGGCCTTTGGAACTAGGGAGGTGAGTCAGGTTGTTAGGGAGCTGGGTGCAATAAAATAAAGAGAAGAAAAATGAGGTTTGTGTGTGCAAATGTGTGTGTGTGCCCAGGCAGTATCTCATTGCACATAGAAAAGCCCACCTCTGTAACCCAATCACCCACTCAGTGTTACCAAATAATACCTCATATTACACCTACGTGAAGACGTAGCAACTGGCTGGCATATTGTCTTCATCAGCCTCACATCACAACTTATCATTGAAAACATGTTTAAAAAAAATTTAATATTGGTTGCTCCTTTGAAAGGAAACTGTTCGTCTCTTTTGCTGCTGTCATGAGAGTTGTGCGTGTGGCTGAAATTAAAAAGATGCTACGGAACTGAAGGTCTGCATGAAAGTCAATTTACTTTTAATGTAAAACATAAGTATAAGTAAATATATTCATTTACGATCCCTAGGGAATATTACATGTGTTTTGATGGAGGTGAGTTATGTAATCCTGTAATTTTCTTTGATAGTGATTGTTACCAAGGATGTCTGAACCCTTTATACTACTCGATAAGCATAGTTGCGTAACTCTGGGTTTTTATATGTTGGGGTTTTTTTTTACTCCTGTTACCTTGGCCACTGGCCTTAAATTGTGTTTGATGTCTGTTCATATATAATACAAATCCATTTTCAGTGCACAGAGACATACAGTAACCCCATATCGGTGCCTGTTATTCAACTATTCTTCTAATGTATTCATCCATTTCTCTTCAAAGGACATGTGGAGAGGAAAGAACATGTCAACAACCCATCTTCACCTCTGCCTGTGCTGACATCCCATATTCATCCATCC